AGAATAGTTTTCATTCACCTGTATAAAATTAACACAAATGCCTCTTTGAATCACTATTTCCAGATCGTTTTCCTGTGTTTGCATCCTCTTCTTCTGTCGTTTAATGGCACAGCTGCTTCTCTTGAAGAGCTCGGCTTGTAATTTTCAAAAGATTGCATTCCAGTGCGCATATATCGGCATTACTTATGGAGTAGTGAGAGTGCCAAGTTACAAAAATAAATCAGTAAAAGAGTAAAAAAAATAAAAGTGAAAATAAAAAGAAGAATAAATAAATCAATTAAAGAAAAAATAAATAAAAGTGGAAATAAAAAGAAGAACAAATAAATCAATAAAACAATAAAAAATAAAAGTGGAAATAAAAAAGAATAAATAAATCAATTAAAGAAAAAAAATAAAAGTGGAAATAAAAAAGAATAAATAAATCAATTAAAGAATAAAAAATGAAAGTGAAAATAAAACGAAGAATAAATAAATCAATAAAACAATAAAAAATAAAAGTGGAAATAAAAAAGAATAAATAAATCAATTAAAGAAAAAAACAGAAAGTGAAAATAAAAAAGAATAAATAAATCAATAAAAGAATAAAAAATAAAAGTGGAAATAAAAAAAGAATAAATCAATCAATTAAAGAATAAAAAATAAAAATGAAAATAAAAAGAAGAATAAATAAAGCAATAAAACAATAAAAAATAAAAGTGGAAATAAAAAGACTAAATAGATTAATTGAATATTTTAAAATATTTTTTAATTTTTTAATGTCTTTCATTTTTTTTTAATCATTTTTATTTATTTTTTAAGTTTTTTTTTTTACATTTTTTTCTTTTCTTTTTTTTAAAAATTTGGCACTAATTTTAATTAATTAATTTTGGCAATTTGGCACTCTCACTACTCCATAATTACTGATGTAGTTGCAAACACCACAGCGCCCCTCTGGGCACGTGATGGTATTACACCAATTGAAAATTTATTGGATTTGCAGCAAAAAGGTGGCGGTTAAAGGTGCGAATACCCCAAATTTTAAACTGATTAATGTATCAAATGAACAGAAAAAGATCATTAATCACAGTATTTGTATGAGAATTAATCACTCTCCAGGTCAGCAGTAACAAACTTCGTTATTTTGTCTTTTGCTTTGCAGTATGTCAGG